AACTCACGCCGGGCGCGTGTGCGTGCGTGCCCAAGATCCCGAGAGGAGAATGGAGGAGAAGGGATTGCGGTGTGACCATCCCCCCTGGGGGTGATTTCTCGCTTTCTGTCTCTCTGTCTCTCTCTGTCTGGCGAGCGCACGTGTCCTATAGCAAAAATCTCTCCAAAGAAAAAAGAAAAAAAAAGTTTCTTGGGGTCAGCAAGTGGTATAGTGGTTAAAGCACTGGACTCTTGAACCGTGGTTCAAGACCTGGACCTGGTGGCTTGAAAATCACACTGGGCGCATGTGCATGTATGCCCCAAGTCTCCGGAGGAGAAGGGACTGTGGCATGGCCATTCCAGTGGGGGGAGGGGAAGATTTCCCACTTTTCCCTTTCACTGTCTCAGTCTCTCTTTGCTGAGTGTATGTGCCCTATGGCAAAAACCTAAAAAACAAAGCTGCTTTGATTGAGAGAGGCAGGCCGGAAACCCTCAACAGGGTGTTCCATCACGACCCTCCCGCAGCCTTCCCAGCTAGCCGGGACCACGCCCCACACACCTGGTCAATCAGGGGTCAATCCCTGGCCTTCCTGTGGGTCCAGCATTGTGGAGCAGTGTGCCGCCACCGCGCACCATGGCTGGGCCTGGTCTGCCCTTTTTGAACGGTGGGGATCCCACACCACAGCTGTTTCTGCCTCTGGCTCTGGGAGAGGCCTCCTCCCACCCAGCTGGCTCTGCACCACACTGGAGCAGCTCCGGAGGGGTTTCTAACTTGCTTCTGCAGGGCTTGGATTTGTTACGAACGCAACTGTCTTCTGTTGATTTGCTTTTAAAAAGCCAGTTATGTTCGCTTCTGGCTCTTATCTACTTACCCAGTTCTGGGCACTTCTGGCCCAAAACTACAAAGGGGCACTAGCAGGCAGGTGCAGAGTCTCCACCACATGCTCCTGCCTACCCTGCCTGTGACGGGCAGGGTGCCGTGGACAGGTGTCCACCTGCACAGTCTCACCTTCTTCATTCCGCAGTTGACAAAGGAGCCATGGCCCGGCCGGGTGGGCCGGTCCACCACGACACCCTCTCGGAACTCCGATTCTTCATCCTGCCGCATGTGGTGGGGGCTGTCCAAGGGGTTCAGGAGCCCTGACGGGGAGAGGGAGGGGCCAGAGGAGTCTGGGAGGTGCTAAAGCACAGAGGATGGAGGGAGAGAGGTGGGGACCCTGGTTCACGTGCCAGCTCTCCACAGGCCTGCCTCTGCACAATAGGCGTTGGCTTGCCTTCCCACACAACAGCAGGTGGTGGCCCAGAGGTATTCTGGTGTCTAGGGGTGACCAAGGGGAAATGGCCCCTGTCCTACCTGCAAACTGCAGATCCTGGTGCTTGGGGAAGAACGCCTTTCTCAGGTACCTTGTATAGGAGACGGGTCTCAGGATGGCCCAGGGCAAGCCGCCTCCCTGACCTCCACCTTCCCAGCCCTCCTGCTCAGGGAAGTCACCCTTACTGTGGACACTCCAGGTACTGCAGGACCCGGGCCAGCTGTACGCACGCCTGCCCCTTCTTGCCGACTCCCGTGAATTCCCCCTCGACGGTCCTGGAGGGAGAGAGGGCTTGAGATCCAGCTACAGGCAGCCCCGGAGCACAGTAGCTAGGTGCTGCAGAGGAAGCCAGATCCCACGTAACCAGTCAGTGTGCGTCTCAGCTCCATCGGCTTCACACCACGTGTGCCCAGGATCGATAGAGGAAGAGGGATTGCCCGTGACCAGGCCCCCAATGGTGCTTTCTCTTTCTGCCTCCCTCCCCTGCCGCAGACATGTGCATGCATGGCCCTCTGACAAGAGAAAGAAATCCAACTTGTCCCCTTCAAGAGCTCCTCCCACCCAATGTGACCTCTGTGGTCCTCCCCCTGCCTGGCAACCCACCATTGAGCATTACAGTGGGGGCCTTTCAAACAGGGCATGGGGGAAGAGCTAGGCGGAAGGGGATTGGGGGGCACACCCGGCAGCCTGCCCCATCTCCCTGAGCCCTGGTGCTCCATCACAGGACGGCCCTCACTTAGCATCTTGGCCCTCCTCATCGAACACCACGATCTCGTCCACACAGAAGATGGCACAGGCTCTGGCGATCTGGCCGGCCAGGTAAGTACGAAGCTCGGGCGACTGGGCGTTGTCCAGGATGGATCCTGGCAGAGCCACGCTCAGGGTGTAGGGTCGCCCTGGACAGATGAAAGGTAAATAAACACACCTTTTTAAAAAGTTGAAACAAAAGAAGTCACACGGTTCTGGAGATACAAAGAGGTACGATGCTTACCCCACTCATAGGTTCGAAGTCTACCCAAGCAGGAGGTTAGAACTCAAGCCGGTTGGACCCTTCCCCTTCAGACCTCAGCTTCTCCATGAGGACAGGATGTTTGGACCCAGTAGGCTCTAAGGGTCCCTCACAGGGTTTTCTCTGCTCTATGGGTAGGACAGTGCTGCAGGCCACACCTGCACCCTCCCAGGACCTGGCCTGCTCACCCTGATCCTCACCTCTGTGCAGCCTCCGCCTCCTCCCAGACCCCAGCCTGCTCACCCTGGTCCTGCCTCTCTGCAGCCTCTGCCTCCTTCCAGAACCCAGCCTGCTCACCCTGGTCCTGCCTCTCTGCAGCCGCCGCCTCCTCCTCCTGCTGCTGCTTTGCCTGTTCCTCTTGTGCCCGCTGCCGCTCCAGTTTTTTCATCAGTTTGAGATCTTTCCACTTCTTTTTCTCCTCTTTCCC